TCAGAATACATTTCATTTTACTCCGTAACTTCTTGAGAGATCCTTTCTCTTTAATTCGTGGTTGCGGACCTCTTTTCTTTTACTACCACACCCGCATCGAGACGATAAAACCGAGCGTATTCGGGAGAAATACTTGATATCTCGCGAGAAATGGTTCAAGGCCCTTTCCGCGTGAGGCGATCTTGTTTCGCGCACAAAGAACTAACTTTGAGCATATTTTACACTCAGGATCTTTTACTTATTTACTCAATCTAAAATATCGACATACGCATTCGTCGATCGGTCGACAATGATTATATAGCCGTGCCGTAATGGATGCGGATAAAGGGGTCCAGCGAATTGGTATACTCACGCGGCAAGTAAAGAGAGATCGGTTGATGACCGGTCTGGCGAGAATAACGGCTATTGTTCTCGACAATATCAAAATAAATTCGCGAAATAAATTCTTACATCCATTAAGTTTAATTTCTCTAAATCGGCGCGATGACAATTGATTCACATTTTCCCGATCAAAATCGTTATTGCGGAAGATCGCGCGTCCCGTTTATTCGCTTTCGTAGATCGTCCGTCGATCGTCGTCCTGGTCATTTGATATTTTTCACATTGGCGACAGTAACGGTAGTGATGGCGATGGCAATGGTGATAGGTAGCGGCGACGGCAGTGGTGGTGGTGTTGGTGGTGGTGGTGCTGGTGACGGTGGCGGATCGTGGCGATCGCGGTGGTGGTGGTCCCGCATTCGGGCGAAAGGGAAAATGCCTGGTCGAGTGGCTCTTTTTTTTTCTTCTTTTTCCCCCCCGACTGGCGACGGTGATTTTTGACACGGTCGACGTTCTATCGGACTTGCATTTGTCTCGGAGCGTTCTATCCGAACGTGCCCCCCGGAACGTCCACGTGCAAAACGAACGCCGCGAAAAAACGGCGCATCCAAAGATGCGTCACGTGCATCGTCTCACCTGACCATCAGCCGTTGTCTCGCCGTCGCGCGCGAATTCTGTGTGATTTCGACCGATTCTCTTTCTCTCGCGTCTTTCTTTTTCTTTCTCCGGAGTGCCGCGCTTTCGTCCGCGAACTTTTCCGCCATTTCGAAATTTTCGAATCGAAAAAGTGCCGTTTTCGTCGCGCCGATTTATTCGTTTCTTCAATTTGCCAAAGTTTCTCTCCGATTTTATCCGCCATCGGAGAAAGTATTACGGATTGCCGGGGCGAATTGTGCTGTGGTGGCGCGGAAATGAGACATAGGAATTATAGGATTAGACACGACTGAGCAGCTGCAAGGTGAGCGTGGCTTGGAAATAAGAATTTCGCGCTCTTTTAAAACGCCTGCACACGTGCGGGACTTCCGCGTCGACGCGTGGCTTTAACCGACGTTCATTCACTTTGACCTTTACTATTAAATTGATCGCGCGAGAATGAAACGATAATCGGGAGACTCATTCCTCAATTATGTCTGGAAGCATAAAGTTGGTAAAAAAAAATCGTCATAATAATTACGACGTCGTTGTTATAATTCGCTCGTTTGTGCGAATGAGGGACCCGTGTTTAGAAGGTCTCTTAAGTTCATCGCGGTTGATTCTCGCCGTCGATCGCAAGAATAAGTGGCCCAGAAGAGCGCGCAGCATTAACGAACCGGACTCGGAATTAACTGACCGTTTCTCGAGCGATACCAACTCGGCAGACCACTTTCACGTGCGCAAACCGCCAGATGTACGACCTCCGTTTCTTACGTAAAACTCGGGCACCCGTGTAATCATAGCCGAACGACCGTGCAAATGTCGAAAACTTCTCATTTCCGTTTTTGCCGCAATTTCACTCGATGACATTTCATCTTTACGATCGAACACGGACGCTCCAACAGCTTCAGACAGAATTAGCAGCTCGTGCTCTTAGCGTTTGTTTTATTAGCTTGCAAAGTGCATCGTAAAGAAAATGAGGATAATTGAATGTATGCCTTTTGTAACTCGCGTGCCGCATATTTGCATCTCGAATATTGAATGCGTACAAATTGGCACGTACATATTTTATATCTATATAACTATATGTTAATGCATGGCAAGAATCTTTTAATTAAATTGTGAATTTTATATATTTTATAGTAGAGTAAATTTTCCGGATTTGAAATTCCGTTATCGTAGTTTCAAATGGGAGCAAATTCAATTTAGGCAAACATCTAAAATAACTTCTAGCATTTCTCAGATATACTCTATATGTTTGTTGTATTTTTATTAGCTACTTATACTAATAACTTATTCAAATAAAATTTCAAATATACATATATGTATAAATGTTGAATTAGTTACGTGAGTCCTCCGTGAGTTTTGCGTGTTACAAAATAGCATTCCTGAAACGGCCCGATACAGTTTCGCCGCGATCGCATATACTACACGAAAAGAATTTACTTTCTATCGGCGCAAGTACGAACGGCCTGCGAGAAATTAAAGCTGATACTTCAGTTACGAAATCCACGTTACTTAGTTCTAGTAGTATGTAAACTTGCCGCTTCTCTGCCCTCACGTAAAAAAAGAAAAGAAACACGCGACCACAAATATTTCTCTTGTCACGTAAAACTATATTCCGCTCGTAGCGAATGTTCGAAGGAAATTTGTTCGATCGGTTTTGATCGTGCTACTCGCGATTAGCAAACAACTCGGTTGGATAAACGGACTCGTAAACCAGTAATTGTTTCGCATTTGCCGTGCATTACCGTAGAACTGAATGGAACAGATGTCTCGGAGCGATGGTAATTCATGCACTACGGCCACTACGTCGACCCTTCTTTGATATTGATCTTCCCCTCTCGATCCTCCTACGATGCTTCTATTCATTCATACGCTCAATAAACGTGTACGAGAGAACGATCGTTACAATAACATTTTATTTTCCTCGTAATAATTATGTTACAGACATTTGTAATATTTCAAGATGAGAAAGATGTGTAAACTGAAAATACTAATTAATTTGAATCATACTTTGTGTTCAGTATCTCTGTAACTCAATGCAAAAATCTTACGTAGAACAATAATTTTAATAGAGAATTAATAGTTTTTATATAATTCGGAATGAATACATTTTTCGTTGTGATGTAACAAATTTGATGTAATGAAAGTATACTTTTTGTTTCTTTGTCGCGGATTATTGCAGTTTTGTGTTCAAACCGGACGGACCAGAATGTTCGCAACATTCTGGTGGTGGAGGGACAGTATATTGCCTGCGCTGCTTCGAAAATAAACAGCGTGGTCGATAGAGACTAACAACCGGCAAGAGTAAAAGTAAATTTGAACAGCGCGGATAATGCTGTCTTACGTTTGGTGTCTGTATGCGTATCGACCCGAGTACACGCACGGTGTGCACGTTGGAAAGCACTCATTTTCAACTGATATCAAAACAAAATATTCAAAATCAAAATCGAATTCAGGAATTGGAATCGGTTGAACTGTCTCGATACGTTCATTTTGGATTATATAATTTTTCGGGATATATTGTCTTATTTCCGAAATTTTGGGATTATAATCTTTCGAAATATTGTCACACTTCTCAAATTTCGGGATTATGACTCTTCGGGATTTTGCATATGCAACGGTACAATATCACGATACAACGAAACACACATCAAATGTCACGTTATCATTCTTGATGTGGATAAAGATAGCGTTTATTTTCGCGCAATATTTATGAGAATAAAAAATTAATTCATCAGAATTATCGTTTTTAGTTTATAGTTTTTATTTATTAAAGTTTTCTTATTAAAAGTAAAATCGGTTTTATTTATAGATCTTATTAAAGTAATGAAGATGCCGGTTACATCTGGGAGGGTGTTACGTAGAGTTTACGCAACCGTCACTACATTAATCACTATTTTATCCTATTAAGCATTCTGAATTTAATTTTGACATTCGAAGGAAATAATAAATACAATTACAATAATATAACGATGATCCTTATAATAATTATATAATTCTCGAATCGGCAGATCACTTAATTACGAAAAAACTTTATTAGGTATATGTAATTTTTAAATATATCCGTATTTTCCGTCAGCCTGAAATTCTTCAATATTTTATTAAAAGGGACTTCTTAATATTTTTCAGAATGGCACGGACGTTTTCGTTGAGCTTGGTAGTGGCGTTGCTGCTAATCTTCGCTATTACTGAAGCTTCTCGTGGACAAACTAATCAGGTAATTAATTATCAAAATATATATAAGTTATATAAGTGATGAGATACGTAATGGGTATAGAAGATGCGTCTATTCTTCTAATTTGATACGTATAACTAAATAATTATTTCATAATTATACCAATGACATAATACATCATGGAATATTTTTCAATCTAAATTATCTGGAAGAAGGAAAAAAAATTATTATGCGTATGCACTCTTTAATTAGAAGGCTCTTGTATGAATATCATCCTGCCCACGTCGAAGAATATACAATATATAAACTTTAATTTCCAACGCTTTGCGTTACGTGAAATACGTTGCGCAACGTAAAGACGTAAAGACGTGAAGACGCAAATTAATAACGCCAGGGATTTACGGGAACACAATTGTCTACAAATTAATGTATGTACAACGAAATATATACACATGAAGACCGGCAAGATCCGTTTTGCACGTGTTTTGTGTCAAGGATGCGCGTTTGATGCCGGGCGTTTACAACATTGTTACAGCGTTGTTTTTCTTTTCTTTTCTTTTTCCTTTTTTTTCCACGAAGGCCGTCGACCCAGCGGCACGAGTCGATTCGTATTATTCGACTAAATCGCACAGGTGAAGTTGCACGCGGTGCATCACAATGCTCGGTAATTAGAGGCCGAGAAAGGAAGCAGTTCCTTTACCTAGATGATTACTTGTATAACAACGAAAAAGAAAATCTTCACGAATGGATTCACGATAACGACACTTCGCTTCTTATTCCGTTACGATTTGATTTGAATATAGCGCCGTCTTATTGTTCCAATTCTGTACAGGATATTCAAGGTTTCACTTTGATGACAGATTCTTTGATTAATTTGCAACTTTCTTAACAAAAAAATATCGAAACATTAATCATTTCCGTGTTATAAACACGGTATATGATTCAGGTGAACGAACTTCCGAGAAATGCAATTAAAGAAACAAAACTCTATTACTTATTTAACATGCACATTAACGAGTTGCGCCAATAATGATCATCCCTGCAATATTTTATTAAATAAATCTTGATATTAAATTTGTCAATGAGTTTATTATTAAAATAAAGTTAAAGTGTGTAGGTTGTCTAGAATATGCTGCTATAAAATAAGAATTACCTCGCAAATAATTATAATACATTTGGAACGTGGTAACAAATGAAAGCACTATATATCGCATAAAAGAGAAACTAGAAATAGTTTGCGCCTTGTCAACGTGATGAGTCATTCGTCTTTCCCTCTTGATCGTATACTCGGATGTCCAGATTCCAGTTATTCATTTTGCATTTGCCTATAATAATAGATTGCCAGGAAGATCTTGGACGCTTTCGCCGACTCTCTCACGTAAAAGTTGTTGAAACGAGTTCGTGGCGTACGAGAATAAACGTCTCTCCGATCAAAGAACCCATTAATCTATTAAAAGTAAAAATCTAGATTAGCATATATTTTGTGTGTAAAAAAAAGTTTGACCGTACTGGACTAATATGTGCATCGGAGTTGATTAGCAAGACGCAAAACCGTGAAGAAAACTTTCCCAGCGTTTCAAAAACCCATGTGCTATCCTTACATATTGCTTTTTATTAAATAATTTGAAAGAACATGAAAGCATTATTATTCACTACTTTTAAGTTTGGATGAACCGCGTTAGATATGCTTAGAAGAATATAACATTATTTTACGATAGTGATTTAATATAGTGCGATTGCATAATATTAATTATTAATCCTTCGTAACTTGAGGATATTATTTGCTCATGAAGATATGGTAAATCTTTAACAAAGGGACAATCTGTGATAAACTTATTTTATGAGGTCAAGTTTAACTCGTAAGATTTAATAAACAAAATGTATGCTTTACGAGTTTATCACTCTCTAAAATTTATCACGTTTTCTTTGAGAAAGATGAGCATAAATTTCTATTAAATTGAATATATAAAACTATGAAATTTTCATCTTTTATTTTTCTGTTTATTACAGGTGTCTATCATATTTATCATATCATAACATTAATTTCCTTGTTCAAATGAGTTTTGCACATTATAAGATTATTGATCATTTATTATCATTAGCTGTCAATCAATGAACGTACCTACCTACACTTCCCGTATAATGCATTTCAGCATGAAGTTCAAGCGAACGGTAATGATTCGATATGCATGAACTTCTTGCTTATTCCTCATACTTAGTTTTATACAACAATTCTTACGATAAAAATATACTTATATATGTATATACACGATAGGAAAATTTTTATGGACATTTTTTGGAATAAATATATCACATTTTTTATACCATAGTAAAGACAATGATAAAATTAACGAAAAGACGATAATAATTAAACATTAAGATATAAATATTTTAATCTACGAAAATCTAGACTAGAGTTCGTTGTCTTTTAATTTGTAAACTCTTATCCTATATATGCTCTTATTATCGTAATCAATTACAGGATTGTAATTCTTACGTTTGTTAAACGTATAAGCATTTCACGCACCAATCTAGGTAACGAGGCGGCGCGCAACAGATACATATAAAACACAGAACACATATAAATGGAGTGAGAGGATAAGAAGAAAAAAAGAGATCACAAGTTTGCATGGACCACGCCTAGTCGTGCGCCGTTCGCTTTTAGCGCACGTTATATACCGTGTGATCAAAAATACTCAGTACTCACTCCGTTTTCATGATGTTATAGTTGAATTAGTTATTAAAAAATTAATATTTATATGCTAATTAAATTTAACAAATTAAAAAATAATTATTTACAATAATAATAACAAATTTAGTGCCAGCAATTGTTAAGTGAATAATTATAAATAAATTTAATTTAATTAAAAAATAATTTAAACCCTAATAAAAATTTAATATAAAATAAATTGTATATGACAAAATATTTAAAATTTATTTATAACGGTTACGATTGAATGTAGTCAATGAAACATAGAATAGTTGAATGTTATAATTAAATACAGTCAATTACAGCTTAAGGGTCGATTCAGACACAGCCGTGCCGTACCCGGACTGTATCCGTATCGTTAACATTAGACAAGGATGAAGACACATTAGACAAGGATGGAGACAATAGGAATCCTTGTCTAATGTTTCTGTCCGTGATACGGTACGGGTACGGCACGGCTGTGTCTGAATCGACCTTAAATGTCATAGTTCTGTATCGTCAATCGGTGGCGATCATGGCGCAGAAAGATGTGCGCTGCTCTAATGAGCCGAAGATCCGAGTTCAAATCCGACCAAAAATCGTTGGTTTTATTTGATCGCCACCTCTCGGAAAGGTAAATGGCAACCCATCGAGAGTGTAATATCCTTTAGGTTTGCAAAATTAGCACTAGGGCAAAATTATTGTTACGAAACCAAAAGGGAGGCCTCAGATTTAATGAAGGCCGAATTTGAAAAAGCCATGGCTCAATCTTGAGCTGTAGAACCATTGGAGAAAAAGAGAAATTTGATAAATTTCTCGAAAAAAAAATAGATAACTTCTCTAAATGATGACTTTAGACGTTTTCCTTATTCTGACATCAAAAAGGTGATGAAAACTAAACTGAGGAGTCGTGTACCATTTCGCAAAATTCGCAATAGTTGTTGATGAGCGAATGAGCGCACACTGCAAATGCAAGTGTGTTATTTTTTTTAGTTATCAAAAATACGTAGTATTAATTACAATCTTCATTATCTACTTAATAATCTAATTATTTAAAAATATCTTTTTTTTGGTCTCTACGTTTGCTGTTATATAGTTGAATTTAGTAACTATAATTGAATATAATAATTAAAAATTAGAATACAGTTGAATATATAATAATGTTATTGTTGAATATAGCTTGAATATTATAGATCTTTTTTGTCAATTGTCAGTAGATCGTATTAATCACAACCTACTAATAATTTAATTATCAAAAGATATTTTTTCCTTGCTTGCTATGTTTACTATTGTACTATTAAATTATTAAATATAGTAAATAAATATAGTAAAAAATAACGTTATAGTTGAATATAGATTATCATAGTTTTCTTTTGACAAGATAATTAAGTTATAGGTCTTATTAATCGCGATCTACTTAATTATCTTTTTAATAATCTAATTAATCGAGAAGTCAATACGAACCCCGAAGAGAATTGATATTGCCAATGCTATTTAATCGTTAAATTCCAGAATGAACAATTTCGTTTTCATTAGTATTCGCAATTATCCTCGCGCTAGCGAAGCAACGCGTATTCCCTCGGTGAACGTAAGCGCGATGTTGATAATTATTCCGCTGTGCGCACCGATGATCTTAATCTAATAGAAGCAAGAGCGAGATGATTTTCTTATCGATTTAACGACGCGTTACGTAAGGCAAACCACAGTTCTTATTCCAGGACAGCTGTTTTTTTTTTATCATTGTATAAGTGGCTCCTTGCAAAGTGTCTGCGACATCTTTCATTTCATCATAATAACAGATAATTTATGTAACGGTATGAAGATTTGTAAATCGTTCCGACAGAAATCAGTGCACGGTTCAAGGCAGACGTCTCTTACCTCATATATAATGTTCTTAGGAATGTAGTTTAATAGAACACTTTTGAATTAAACATAGAGATGTACTCGGAATAATTACGATAACGCTGCATAGATATCGAAACAGATTTTTCGCATATTTGTTAGAGTTTGATATTACAATAAAGCTTTTCTCTGTATCTCACATTTTGTGATCTACATACTGATATAAAAGGACTATATCTTATAAGGACTATATCTTACAACTGATAGAAGACTGAAAAAATATAATATGCTAATACACATCAAATTTTATAGATGAGCGAAAGTATTTAAATCATTAGTGAGAGTCGATATACGAACTTTTACCGATTTCTCGAATTTGTTTCCCGATCTCCTGTCTCCGAATAAAGTGTCAAAGCGTCTGATTAACGTCGCAATCAATTCTGCAAATGCATGTAAATCTCGAAGGCTGTCTTGCTTTTATTTATTTCACGCCAACAGGCGGTTGGTGCGA